CCCCAAAACCCCAAAACCCCAAAACCCCTTTATGATAGGAGTTGTTGAATTATTATTCTGAATTTTAACCTGCATTCCCTCTTAGTTCTTCTATTTTTTCATTTAGCTCAGATATCTTTAGACGTAATCTTGCATTCTGCTGTGAAAGGTCTGTGATTATTTTATCGTTCTCAGTCTGAGGAGCTCTTCTGGTGTGATCTGGCTTTTCATTTTTAAGCACAAAGTTCTCTCTTTCTAACATTTCTACTTTTTCTTCTAGATCCATGATCATATTCTCCTTTTCTTCAAGGATTTCATCTGGAGCTCCGATACAGTTCATTGTAAGTTCTTTTACTCTTTCTTCTTTATTTTGAAGATCTGCTTTTGCGACAGAGAGTTCATTCTTTACCTGAGAATTTTCTTGCTTGAGCTGATAAATTACTTCATAAGCTTCGTCACTAGATGATGTAGATGCCACAGCTTTGCCTCCTTTCTTAGATTGGAGCCTGGCATTCTCATTCCTTAAGGCTTTAATGAGTTTGTCATCATTCTCAGTTTTGTCAATGAGGATCTTGACCTTTTCAGCCATGAGGTTTTTGAGCTCTTTCATTTCATTCTCAACTGCTTTCTTACGGGCGCATGCTCCTTTGTATTTCTGCTGGAGGGACTCATGTTGGTCTGTGACAACAACGATTTCTTCCTTAAGCTTGTCTAATTCTCTAGCTCTGTTCATTCCAATAGTTTCTAAGTTCTTGGTAGCATGTGACTTTGGAGCCTGAAATTCACTGGTGAAGGTTGTTGTGGAAACGCTATCTCCATAGTCAAGTTTAAGTTTCTTGATCTTGGCTTTGTACATTTCAATCTTTTGAGCCCTTCCCTTCCAATTGGAGTCTTCTTTGAGGATCTCGTCAATGCTCTTTCCCTCGCCTACCTCTCTTTCAATGATTTTAAGGGCTTTTTCAAAGTCAGTTTTGTACTTTTGAACATCATTTCTGAGCTTAACAATTCTTTCCTCTTGCTTTTTGAACTTCTTTTTATAGTTCTCATCCGACCCTTCCGCAGGAGGTTCAGAGAGTGTAGAGATATTAGTCCTGTTCATTGTCTTTGTCTCTTCAGAAGGAGGCATTTCATCACCTTGCTTAAGACGGATTACTTCTTCCATGGCCCTAGCTGCTTTGTTCTTCAATGACTCAATTCTTACTTGTAGATCTCTAGATAGATAGGATTGGATTGATAAGCTTACCTGTTCTTTCTAGCTAGTTCAAGAATTTTCTTGTCTTTGAAATCAACAGTCTTCCCATCACTACTCTGGATTGTATCAATTATGGATTTGTATTCCTTGACTTGGTTCTGACTTTTGTAAAGTTTTTCTAGGAGGACTCTATTTTTATCCTCAAGTCTTGCTCTATCATCCATTGGTGCTTCATCCTCGGAGCTACTTTCCTCGTGGGCTCCCATCGGACCAGCATACTTAAGCTTCTTCTCGAAGTTTCCGATATCATTGTAAATATCGTCCATTTTAAAATTCAATTATGAATTAGTTTTTGGGGTTTTGGGGTTTTGGGGTTTTGGGGTTTTGGGGTTTTGGG